AATATTTTATTTCCTGATAAACTTAGTTTACTAGATTAAATTTATAAACGAGAGGAATCGATTCAGAAATATTCGATTTCCACATCGAATAATTTCGCAACGTCACTATTTATTAAGTGTCATAACGTTGCAACACTGAAATTGTCAAATCTGGAATGGAATTACAATTCCGAGTATAGATCGGATATCTATTACGGACGGATAGCGGAGACTAACACCCGGTTTCCGAAAGGCCGGTATCAATTTAATCTCTTGTCAAGTCATCTGATTGGTTGACTGAATTATCAACAACCAATCAGATGACTTGACAAGAGATTTAACAGGAGATTGGTTAATATTAGCGTTGACAAGCCTTTCAGAAACTGGGTGTTAGTAAGTAATACGGTATTTACCCATTGGAGATGTACCAAAAAAATGAGACGATTAATAACACATTTTAAGTATACTTCGATTCTATTCTATTGCTATAGGCTGCTTTTTATCAACATAGCACGCAGGCGAAGCCGTTGGCGGAAGCTAGTAATAAATAAATCAGAATCCGCAACCCTGGCTACTCTCCAAAACTACTGGTTCAAAAATGATGTTACTCTTCATGTTAGAAGCCTAGTATGGTCTTAACACTAAGACCATTAGGAGTCGAGGAGACAATATAACCGATAAGCGGTAACACATTTTTTTTTTGTGAGGGGAAAATCATCAAATGACTTCTCCGGCCCAGGGCCGGGCGACAGGGAGTGTCAGACTCTTACTGACTAAAAACCCCCCTGTTCCTTCTCCTGCTCTGGGACGAGGTCGCGGTGCCTCATTGCGCTTACCCCGCAACCCCGGCTGGTCACAAAAACATGCCACTCAGACGCGAAACAATAACTTGTAAATCACAGAAGAGTAGTTTCGTGTGGGAATCGAACGCTACGTTGCACAGCAGCCAGTTGCCCAGTCCCTATGCCAACCGTGCAGTCAAAAGTAATTTTAAATCTTATTTTTTACAATTTCCGTGAAATGTCGGATAGCCAATGTGGCCGGCACGAGCGGAGTGATACCACGGCTTTACAGAAAACCGGCGTGAAGCAACACTTATGTTGTGTTTCATGTGAGGGAGGTTATTCTCATATAAATCTCCTATCCTTAAATCCCAAATACACTGGCCTTTGGCTATGGCAAAGCACTTGTAGTAACTCCTTTGGTATTACGATTGTCTATGGACGGCATTGATTGCTTACCATCAGGTAATCCGTATGCTCGTTTGTGAACTTATGACATAAAAAAAATATCTCTTAGCTTTTCCTTACACGTGTACTTAGGCAAAAAGGCTAGGTTTTATTTAAAAAAATACAGATAATACATAAAAGTATAAGTCGTGGTGGCCCGGAGGTTAAGGAGCCCGCTTCTCATGCGTGAGACCGTGGGCTCGAACCTGGCAAGTACCAATGTGACTTTTTCCGAGTTATATGTACTTTCTATGATTATTTAGACACCACTGACATACGGTGAAGGTAAACATCGTGAGGAAATCTGGACTTATAATTTCTAATTATAACTTTGAAATCGCCAACCCGCATTGAGCAAGCGTGGTGATTAATGCTCAATCCTTCTCTGCGTGAGAAGAGGCCTTTGCTCAGCAGTGGGCACTTATGGGCTGATGACGAATACATAAAAGAGGTAGGTACCTAGTTTACCTACCTAATTAATAAACAAGATTGTTACGCTTTCTAATCAAGTACATAAAAATAGCTGCAACAAAAATAGAAATTGGCACAACGATAAAACAAATTGTACATACTCTATACCTCAAAAGCCTTATCACAAAAATTAGTGGATCTATGCAAAAACGCTAGTGCGGTTGGTAAAAAAAGGTTGTCTATTACAAAAAAAAAAATATTGAATAGCACAGAACATATATACCCTAAAGAGGGCTGAATAGGCCCCAAAACTACTTCACATCGATTTTATATAAATTGTTTGTTTGATTTTGAATCTTGTTCGAGTGTGAAGTGAGCGTCGAAGCGACGTGGAAATTCAATTTTAGAATGCCACTTTTAACGTCATCTCATACTAAACTATCAAAATGTTGCGGTCAATTTATTTCAACTCGCGGTCAATTTTATCTAAGTACTAGCGGACCGCCCCTGCTTCGCACGGGTAGGTATCCGACTAACCCGTCAGTCATTTGCTTTTTTTAGCAAACGACCACAGCAATGAAATAGTTGTTAATTCCCGATATTCCCCTTTACTTTTCTAAAGTTTTCTTTCGTAAGAACCTTCACATAAAAATAACGAACATAACAAAGAAAGAATCACCAAAATTGGTCCAGCTGTTATTGAGTTATGCGCTTATTAACACATTTCGCGAGTCATTTTTATATTATAGATTTAAATTAGCACTAAGATCTTTGTGAAAAGATAGCAATGAGGTCACTACTCACTGTAGTTAATTAATCATTTAGGTAACAAGCAAAATACTAAGTTCCTTTCGTCATGATAGACCATCCGTTCTATTAAAGACTTTTTGCATTCGTAACCTCCAAGATGCCAGCCGTCATTTTTTTTTCCTACGTAATCATAATCATCAGTCTACTCCTTGCATGGTTGGCGCGGTGGCTGGGCAACTGGCTTTTTGAGAGGTGAAAATCACTCCTCCCGTCTTAAGTGGGGTGAGAAGGAGAATCATCATCTTACTTACTCGAGAGATGATCTCTGGCCACCGTAAGCGCGGGTCGGGACGGCGAGTAAGGGTAGCTCGCCGCCCGATGAGAACCAAACCTGAGCGTTCAGCGCGTAGCGTTCCGAACGCGCCTCAGAAAGCCAATAGACCACCAGAGATGGGGCCCTATAGGGCTGATGTTCAGCCGGGGTTGCGGGGCAACCGCAATGAGGCACCGCGACCACAGACTAAAGCAGGAGAAGGAGGGGGGGGGTTATTCAGTAAGAGTCTGACACTCTTACCCCAATCCTTTTCCTACTCTGGACCGCATTTATTATTATGTCTGACGTGACAGTAGAATGTATCTTCTATCAACATTCGCATTCTTCCCGCCATTGTCAAAAAAACGTCTTTCGACATTGGCGGGAAGAATGCAAAAGTGTGGGAGATCCATGCTTCGGCAAGAATGGGTCGGCTCGACCGGAGTGATACCACGGCCTCACAGAAGACCGGCGTGAAACAACCACATCGTTGTGTTTCGCCGTGTGAGTGAGGTTACCGGAGGCCCAATCCTTCCCCCAATCCCTCCTCAATCCCTAAATCTCCAAATCCCTAATCCTTTAAAGGTCGGCAACGCACTCCTAACTCCTCCGTTGCGGGTGTTCATGGGCGGCGCTGATTGCTTACCATCAGGTAATCCGTCTGCTCGTTTGCCGACCAATGACATAAAAAAAGTTGATAGAAACATTCTACTCTATTCCTACTGAACAAGGAACTCTAAAAACGACTCTCTCTGATTACGACAATTACAAAATTACATTAATGTTGCATCCTAAAACATTCTTATTTCAACGCCATAGTAGTCAAAATCAAGTGTCTAAATTGTAAATGCAACACTTTAGGTACCTAATTTGAAAAGCGAATTGATAATAAAGTTTTTTTTAATGAAATAATAGGTCTACAATCTTGTCTATAAATTCGCTGGAACTTTTTAAAAAAATGGGTGCACTGTCTTTGTACAGTCTACACTGTGCGACGATACGCAAGTGTGCAGTTGTTCTCAAATTCAGCAAAAAAAAAACTAGATATAGGTAAGTTTTTATATAATCTGTGTTCTCATATAGAATTTAAGACCCCTCTTTGAGTAGTGGCGGTTGAGTAGCCACGGCGTCCTCACTTTCTGCCTGACGCAGTTACTTACCGGGCAAGTCAGCTTCTGTAGGATTCTTCTGGTCGGATCCGGAGGGACGAAACGCCCGCATGGTTTCATTGGGAGGTCACGGTGGAGCATACAGTGGCGGTGTGCCCTGCTTGGGCTTTTGCCGATGCCCGGAGTTTTACCTATCGCTGCGGCTAGGGCGTGAGGAGGAGGATTGTTCCCTCACGTACTCCGCCTATTTCTTTGCGAGCATTACTGCTTCGCTTACAGAGGAGACGGTTTCCCAGTTCCTCTCGCTCCGCACGAGGGCCACGAAAGATCGCCGTCGCCGACCACATCCCCGAGGAGACGGTGGTGGTCAGCCCAAGCAGGGCACACCGCCATCGTATGCTCCACTGTGTCCTCCGGGTGGTCCTCACAATGACGACACCCGGGCCAAAATTATTTTACACTAGCTACTCTCGCGCGGTTTCACCCGCTGCTCGGCTCCATTTCATCGTAGCGTGATGTTTTATAGCCTATAGCACTCAGGAACATTGTAGCTACTTATTTATAAGTAGCTGATAAATCAGTGAAAGAATTTTGGCAATCCGAAACTTATAAAAATTTTACCTCTTTATAACATTAGTATATAGCCTTGCGGTTACATTTTTATTTACCTATGCATCTAAAAAACTGATAGCGATAATTCCACATATCCCGACATTGATAACGACAAAAATAAAAAAGACGGTTGCTCAATTGTATATAATTTAGTACTGAAATCGAAACATAGATAATGTGATTAATTAAAGAATTTACCGACTTAGCAACAGAATTTCTTTCTGAATATTACGAATAAACCTGAATTTTGACACATTCGTAATGCTAAAGATACTAAATATTAACTTGGAACGCAACACATCTTTGACATTTCCAGTGTTGTTAGTGTAATATTTTGCCCTCATTTAAGGGTGAAGTGGGATTATAATTGCATGCTCATGTCATCATTTTCTTATCAGTGCGATAATTTTTACTAAATGCTATGTTACATATTAAAGATAACATAGCTTACCAATAAAAAACCAACAAGGATTAAGAAAACTTTTTGGCGTAATCAATTTGTTTTTGTTTTTTTTTTTTGTTTGTTTGCAATATTGTTTATAATAATTTATCGAACATTAATCGAATAATGGTATAAAAGTGTTATGTAAAAATTAAGCAAATTCTGCATTAACACAGTATTCACATTTTCACAATTTAATGGGACAATGGACATTTTAAGTTCACATTCGGCAAATTAAATTCCTAGTGCTGGCAGTCCTGACACCTTGTTGAATGAAATGTCAAATTGTGATTTCCTTGAATTGGCGATAATTTAAAAATAACATTTCGCATTCTATTCTGATAAGAAAAGCCCTAAGCAAGTTGTGTATTATATAATATTTGCTGACTCCTATTAGTTATAAACACATTTTGATTCCACGTGGACGCGTAGACATTTGTTATAACCTACGCCCGTCGTAAATTATTATCGAGTTGATTCGCTATAAAGTTGCATTGTGATTGAGAAAACTTTTGAACTGTGTTAACTTTTTTAGAGGTCAAAATAATCGACTAAGGAGTTTGTTTTTTTTTCAATCATTTCCGGTAAATTGGTGTAAGTACTCTTATGTATTTTTTTAATTGTTTGTATACAGTATTTATTTATTATGCCTAAGCTTTTTATTACCTACGTATTATTTTATTCAAAATCTAAAAAAAAAAAATGTTTGTTTTACTATAAATAATTGGTTAAACTCATTAGAATTGCAGCATGTTTACATTTAAAAACACAAGATAAATTAAAGGCTATCATTTTAATTTTGTTTAGCAATTAGACAATCTTCTGATAAGGCGTAAATTTTCTATGTTAACTAACTGATAAAACATATTTAAACAAACAGTTTAAGCCATACATATTTACTAATAGATTATTCTAGACATTGTGAAATAAGATTTTATGTTATTAATAATATTTTTGCATTAAAAGTAGTTCTTTATATATTTTATTGGTTTACTAGTTCTTGAGTTCCAAACTATGTCTGTGCCAAATTTCACACAAATAGGTTCAGTAGTTAAGGTGTGAAGAAAAGACTGAAGACTGAAGAAAAGAGTTTGGATTATTCTAGCTAGACTATGATGTTGATAACATTTTTGCATATTAGAAGTACGTAGGTAGTTAGTTTTGTAATATTTATTTGTTTTAATTATGTTAACATGGATTTGATCCAGTTACACTAATATACCTTACAATAATTGCATGAAATTACCAATCATATAATAAAAGTATAGAGAAAAAAAAACTACTTAAACATAAAAAAAGACTGATTTACACTATGTATAGTATTTTCTTGAACAAATAGGAGCAATTATTGTATTCAGTAAATTTAAGTCTTGTTTACATTATACCATATTATCATGTATTGTTTAGACAATGTAAGTCAATAATTGGTTTAATTCATCAAACACCAAGTGAAAGCCGTTATTTATGCACCTATTGTCTTTCTAACTACCACCATTGAAAGGTTAATGTTATGTTATGCAACAGGCAAGAAAGTTACTTTGTTAAATGGTTCGTTAATCACCACATTTACTTAAGATAATATTTAGGTACATAAATTCTTAATTTATCAATGGTAACCCACATCAATTTTTTTTTTAGGGTAATATGATGGGTATCTAGTGAGTAACTACCGAAATCCCTTCATGGGCTCCCCTACTATAAAAACTTCCCAATCGCAATTAAGTGACCTAGTACCTAAACTGATATCTTTATAAAAAATGTTATAGGTACTAAGAGCCACGAGGAAAAAACATTTATGATAAAATTAAATCTGATTATTTTAGATAAAAAGTTAACAGACAATGTGATAAGAGATTAAAATAGCCCACCTGTTTTTATAGGACACGAATTAACTCAGAAGGAGTAAGATTTTTTAGTTTTTATAATGTGGTCACACTTACACAGTAAAAAGTAAGTATATACAATGTTCTCCCACCCAGGGTAAGGCAAGAGAGAATGTCAGACTCTTACTGACTAACCTCTCCCCCCTATTCCTTTTCCTGCTCTGGGCCGAGGCCTATAGGGCCTCGTCTGTGGTGGTCTATTGGCTCTTTGAGACGCACGAAACGCTACGCGCCGTACGCTCGGGTCTGTTTCTGGTCAGGCGGCGAACTACCCTTACTCGCCGTGCGCAGACCCGCACTTACGGTGGCCGGAGATCATATGTCGATTCCCGACGCCCGGAATGTCGCATTTGTCGCCACGGCGGTGCTCAGCCCAAGCACCTCCGTGACTCCTCTAGGTGGTCCTCGCAATGACGACACTCGGGCGTTTCCTCCCACTGGATCCTAGGTCAAAAATAAATTAATTCGACGTTTCAATACAATAAAATATCAAAAATAATTTTTATTCATTCAACTTTTATTCATCAATCGATCGATACACAAAAAAAACTAAATTGAATTCGTTCCCGAGCTTTGATGCCACAGACAGACAGACAGACACGTCAAACTTATAACACCCCTTTTTTGCGTCGGGGCTTAAATAGAGATAAACATTCCAACCTTATATTCGCATTTCTGTGATTGCCTTCAAACCGGAGTCATCGTCCATCTAACTGGCATTAAGTGATATTTTATTACTCAATATGCAACTGCAATTGTGTGCATTTAACTGCACATTACGTCATGATCTGTGTAACATGATATTAGAGGCGTAGGTACGCGGTGCATCCTTTCATCGGTCAAATAGAAATCATTACAATAAAAATACCTATTAAAACAATATCTTCATTCATATACAGGGTGTAAAAAGACACTTAACGAAGCCGTTAACTACGCATACTGCAGTTCTAACTAAGTATCTTTACGCTAAAATTATCACTGGGAAACGACTTTTATTTTTAGGTATCAAAAAAAAAAAAAATTTTATTGCGCGCAATGTAAAGCAAACGGACTTCGTGTCATTGTGTGCGTAGGTTCACAGCTTAGCATTAAAACGCTGTGATAAGTACGTAGGTCGACGTGTTACTTCGCAACAACAAAACAATTCTGTAAAATAAAAATCCTACTGAGATGCATGATGTTTTTTGTCTGTCTGCATTTATTTATTACGTACATTACTGTTCGTAACTTCAAATGCGTAATTTATTTAGAAAAATCGAAAATTCAGGTAATTTTTGTTTGGATAAAAGTTTTGTAATAATACTTAGAATTCTTCAATATCTCGAGAACCCGTGGAGTCCCAGCTATGGTCATAAAGAAAAAAATGATCCAAATAATGGCTAGAATACGTGGCTTTCGGCTTCGTTAAGTGTCTTTTTACACCCTGTATTTTACCGAAATCATCAAATCACTTATCGCGCCCAGGGTGAGGCGAAAGGGAGTCTAAGATCTTAATGACTAACCCGCCCCCTCCCAACCTCACCGTTTCTTTTCCTGCTTCAGGCCGAGGACGCGGCGCCTCATTGCGCTTACCTCGCAACCCTTTTTTTTGCGGTTCTGGGAACAATGCTAGTAAGCATACCCTCTATATAGTTAGTAGTATGTGGGACTCCCCAGTAAAGACGTTCCCGGTATACACACTAAAAAACCCAGTGGCACTCCGGCCTCGCCTGAGTGGAGGGGGTCTGGGAATCCATGTCGTCCAGTCCCCCACCGACGACTGCCCACCTCAAGCCAGGCCCATCAATTCCCCCCTACTAGGGAGAAGCCTTTATGATGGCCGGAGCACGGGTGATTCGTGCCATGCAGGCGCTTGCGCCCCCGCGCTTGTCGCCCGATGATCACCCCCTGGAGCAGATGAGGACGGACGTAGTTACCTCGCAACCCTGGCTCAACATCAACCATGTAGTCTGTCCCCGGCTGTGGTGGTCTATTAGCTTACGCTCGAGATGTTTATAATAATATGTAATGTTACGTGCCTGACGTCACGTTCCTGACTGTGCGGGCTTGGGTTACGGGATTGGATGAAATTAAACACTAATACCGGTTTTCAGACTTTTTATTGCACTTAAATGACAGCGTCCACGGAGTTAAGTTATCGGCGTTCCTCTCCAGCAGAGTTCGGGCGACTGACACAAACTTCCGTTTGCCGCTCACAGTTCACGCTGACTTAACTCACTTAACTCACTGCACTTCACTATTTCACTCACTTTTCTTCTTTTTCACTTCTTCCTTTTCTTCCGAATCGCTTTGGACTTAGAACTCAACTGCGTGTATAATAACATCGATTGAATAGTGCAGAAGTTTACTACTTATCAGCGTTGCACTCGAACGAAAATCGGCGGATCACTTGGTATACTAATATTTCTCCCTCATTTTCCAGCGAGATGCCGGCTGACTATGACACCATAATCATCGGAATGGGGGCGGCTGGATGTACGGCTGCCTCCACTCTCAGTAAGGCGGGGAAGAAGGTCCTTGCTTTGGAAGCCATGGACAGGATCGGGGGGCGAGTCAACACGGTGCCTTTTGGAGACGGTGTGGTGGAAATAGGAGCCGAATGGTAAGTCCTATCTTTATCTTTTCTGAGTCAAAGTCAAAGACAAAATCTAAATGATTTTTCAATTGGAGACGACATACGTAGGTACACCAGCATCGCCCGACTCAACCATCTTATCTATACTAAGAGGTAAAATTTGTATGTTTGTAAGTTTGTATGTAGGGGTTATTCTATGGAACCGCTGGTCGGATTGCCAAAATTCTTTCACTGGTAGGTAGCTACAATATTCCTGAGTGCTATATAAAACATCAAGCTATGATCAAATGGACCCGAGCAACGGGTGAAACCGCGCGAGATTAGATAGAAGGGGAAAGAGCGATTCAGTGCCCGTGCCACCGCCACTGTGATCTTCAAGTAATGTTTGTTTCAATGTAAGTTTATTTGAAATTCAAATAGACCTCTATAAGCACATGTAAAAGTCAAACAAACAAGAAATATCAAAAAGTTTGTGTGTCAGTTTGTCGCTCTGTCCTCTAGTGAAGCTATTTGCTCGTTCCAAAGTCTAGATTCAAATGGAAAAGAACGAGCAAGAAACTCCATGGTTACTCTTTTCCAATCTATTCCACAATTCATTTTTGTTACGTCATTCAGTCGTTTCGATTATGTGAGAACAGTGTAACACTAATATCCAGTCAAAACATTAGAAAAAGAAAATTACCTCGAAGAGAAATATTCAGACAGTCTCGTCTTGACGGACGCCCGTTCACGAACATGACACGTACACCAGCATCGCCCAACTCAACCATATTATAGGGAATTGAGCGATCCAGCGCCGGTGCCACCGCCACTGTGACCTTTTGAGTGATCTTAAAATATTAAAGCTTAAGATTCCGTCAGTTTGTTTGAATGTGCTTACCTCCATAACTGCTGGTTTCGAATTGAACAAATGTTTTCGTGTTGGATAGCTGATTAATTGAGGAAGTCTGGTCTAGTATTAAGTATACTACTATGATCTAGTATCAGCGCCGGACGTGAAAACTGCATCGCAGCAACTTATTCCCTTTTTTAAGGGGTGGAAGGTCATCAATGAAACGATGAATTTAGTTTTGCAAATAGGCCATATAACAACACCTTTATACGGTCCAAATTATGTGTGAAAACTGGATGAAGCCGAGCCATTAAATGATTTCTCACGAACTGGATAGGGCGAGAGGAGATGTCAGACTCTACTGACTCCCGAGCGTACGGCGCGTAGCGTTCCGCGCGCGCCTCAAAGAGCCAATAGACCACCACAGACGGGGCCCTATAGGGCTAATGTTCAGCCGGGGTTGCGGGGTAAGCGCAATGAGGCACCGCGACCTCGGCCCAGAGCAGGATAAGGAACAGGGGGGTTTTTAGTCAGTAAGAGTCTGACACTCCCTGCCCGGGGCGGGAGAAGTCATTTGATGATTTTCCCCTCACAAAAAAAAGACTCTTGCTGACTAAAAACCCCCCGTTCCTTCTTCTGCTCCAAGCCGAGGCCTCGCTACATTACATTAAACAATTGCTTTACAATTCGGCTAATCAATACATTGTTAATTTGATTACGTAATTCAAGTCTCTAATTAAATTTAGCACAGATTTTTTGAAGCCATATCGATATGTCCTTGTATGTTACTGTCACCTATGTAATTATTACTATTTAGTTACTAATTAGTTTTTATTTACTTTTTTTATGGTATAAGTCGGCAAACGAGCAGACAGATAACCTGATGGTAAGCAATCGGCGCCACCCATGGACACCCGCAACACCAAAGGAGTTACTAGTGCGTTGCCGGCCTTTTGGGGACAGGGGTTGCGGATATAAGAATCGGGAAGGGATAGGGGAAGGGAAGGGATTGGGCCTCCGGTAACCAGAGAAGACGATTAAGGAAACCACCAAATCCAAACTAATATTATAAATGCGAAAGTAACTCTGTCTGTCTGTCTTTTCTTCACGCCTAAACTACTGAACCGATTTCTGTGAAATTTGGTGCAGACATAGTTTGGGACTCGAAAAAGGACATCGGATAGTTTTTTATACCAAATATCTGCAGGAAGGCAATATTCTGCGCGAACGGAGCCGCGGGCAAAAGCTAGCAAGTATATAAATGGTTCTCATTTTTTCATACCCCTTCCTACTCTGTATGTTTTTCTACCCAAACAAATAAAAGTAAAATATACTATTTTTCTTTTAACAGGATTCATGGTACAGAACAGTCTCGGGTCTACAACTTGGCGATACAAAATAATGTGTCTGTAGTGCCACAAGATATTGATTTTGAAGTTTACCGATCAGACGGCACCATTGGAGACAAGGAGGTTTTGAATGAGCTCCTGAATTTCAGTCTTGGGGTTGTCGATGATCCTCCAGCGACACCTGAGCCTTTAGGACAATATATTACTAAGCGGTAAGTTTTTTTTCAAACTTAGAACTAGAAATTATAAGTCCAGGTTTATTGAAAGAAAGAAAGAAAGAAAACACATTTATTCGACAAATATATAATATATAAAATATATAATATATAATTATTATACAAATTATAAGTCAAGTTTCTTTCAAACTTATAATTAGAAATTATAAGTCCAGGTTTCCTCACGATGTTTACCTTCACCGTATGTCAGTGGTGTCTAAATAATCATAGAAAGTACATATAACTCGGAAAAAGTCACATTGGTACTTGCCAGGTTTCGAAACCACATCCTCATGCATGAGAAGCGGGCGCCTTAACCTCCGGGCCACCACCGCCAACCGCCAACCCGCATTGAGCAAGCGTGTTGATTTATGCTCTAACCTTCTCCGTGTGAGAAGAGGCCTTTGCTCAGCAGTGGGCACTTATAGGCTGATGATGATGATGATGATGATGATGATGATGATGATGATGATGATGAATGAGTATAGAAAAAAGGTTTCTTTGGGAAAGTTGTTTGTTATCATGAGTATAATCACGTGTTTAAATATTTGTCACTAATTACCTATACAGGGTGTAAAAAGACACCTAACGAAGCCGAAAGCCACGTATTCTACCCATTATTTGGCTTTTTGTTTTCTTTAAGACCATAGCTGGGACTCCACGGGTTCTCGAGATATTGAAGGTCAAAGATGCATTTTCATTTTTTTGCGCAATCGAATTCTATTTATTATTACAAAACTTTTTTCCAAACAAACATTACCTGAATTTTCGATTTTTCTAAATAAATTACGCGAAGTTACGAACAGTAATGTACGTAATAAATAAATGCAGACCCGCACAAAAAACATCGTGCATCTCAGTAGGATTTTTATTTTACCGAATTGTTTTGTTGTTGTGAAGTAAAACGTCGACCTACGTACTTATCACAGCGTTTTAATGCTAAGCTGTGAACCTTCGCACACAATGACACGAAGCCCGTTTGCTTTACATTGCGTGCAATAAAATATATTTTTTTTGATACCTAAAAATAAAAGTCGTTTCCCAGTGATAATTTTAGCGTAAAGCTACTTAGTTAGAACTGCAATATGCGTAGTTAACGGCTTCGTTAAGTGTCTTTTTACACCCTGTATTATAAGGCATAAAACTAATGACTGTTATACTTACTTGAAGTTTATTTCGAATTATTAATTTATTTTTAGCCTAAAAGAATATATGAGGGCCAAATACCCAACATTGCTAGCTGATCAAGATTTCATGGATAATCTGCTAGAATTCCTAGACCTCGTTGTTGATAATTATGAGTCATCGAACAGTTGGAATGAAGTGTCCACAGAGTCAAAATATACTGAACTTGGCGGCCATCAACATATGAGCTGGCATAGACATGGGTATAAAACCTTATTTGAGATTTTATTGGTAAGTTTTTTTCTCTTTTTCTCTTATTCTATATCATCTTGCTATTATTATAAATGCGAAAGTTACGATGTTTTTCTTTTATAAAAGAAATGCCCTTTTTTAAAAAATGCTCCACACTAGGATTTTCTCCTGTGTCGTGGGAGCGGTTTCTAACATACAATTTCACATACACATCACACCCAGACCCGGAACAACAATTTGTGGGTCACACAAAGAGTTGTTCCGTGCGGGAATCGAACCCGCGACACGTTGCACGGCAGCCAGTTGACCAGCCACCGCACCAACCGTGCAGTCACACGGTTTAGGTTCCGTTTGGATGTTTGTTACTCAATCACGCCAAAACGACTGGACGGATCTGGATGAAACTTGGCAAAGGAGTAGAATACACTCCGGATGCCTGGGTCCTATACAGGCACCTTTTATCAACAGACCACGCGGTCGGAAGCTAGTCATCATAAAAAATACATTTTCACCCCCAGAACACGTACAACAACGGCCCAGGATTCCCAAACCTGGACGTCAAGCTGAAGAAGGAAGTCACTCAGATATCCTGGTCCAAGGATCCAAGCCAATATGTGGTGGTTACTTGCAGAGATGGAAGCAGTTACAGAGCCAAGAATGCGATAGTCACTGTCTCTCTAGGTGTCCTCAAAGAAAGGTAAGAATGCCCCTTTTTCTCTTCCTTGGAGACCAGGACACATCATCAGCCTATAAGTGCCCACTGCTGAGCAAAGGCCTCTTCTCACACGGACAAGGTTTGAGCATACACCATGCTTGCTCAAGGCGGATTTTTTTTTATGAAATAGGCCGGCAAGGAGCTTACGGATTACCTGATGGTAAGCAATCAGCGCTGCCCATGGACACCCGCAACGGGGAAGTTACGAGTGTGTTGCCGACCTTTTAGGGATTAGGATTTGGAGATTTAGGCACTTGGGAGGAATTGGGGAATGGGAAGGATTGGGCCTCTGTAACCTCACCCACACGGCGAATAACAACGCTATGGTTGTTTCACGCCGGTATTCTGTGAAGCTGTGGTATCACTCCGATCCAGCCGACCCATTCGTGCCGAAGCTTGGCTTTTTTACAGTGTGCTGGTTCGAACCCTGGCGAAAACCAATGTGAATTCTTCTAAGTTATATGTACTTTCTATTCGAAATTATTTAGACACAACAAATTCAGAAGTCAGACTCTGAAAGTCCAAATAATGTAAAAACGATGTAGGAGAATGGTTCAAGGTTTTTCTGGATTGTTCTTTTGACTGATTCGAAACCTGGCAAGTACTAATGTGACTTTTACCGAGTTATATGTACTTTCTAAAATTATTTAGACACCACTGACATACGGTGACGGACAACATCGTGAAGAAACTTGGACTTAGAATTCCTAATTATAATTGAAAGTTTGAAATTGCCCATTCGTCTTGAGCAAGCGTGGTGTAAGCTCAAACATACTCCGCGTAAGAAGAGGCCTTTGCTCAGCAGTGGGCACCTACAGGCTGATGATGAACCCCTCTAGATGTGTGAGAGAGAGTCTTCTATACTAATATTATAAAGAGGTAATATTTGTAAGTTTGTATGTAGGGGAAACCGCTGGTCGGATTGCCAAAATTCTTTCACTGGTAGACAGCTACAATATTCCTGGGTGCTATAGGCTATAAAACATCACGCTCCGATCAAATGGAGCTGAGCAGCGGGTGAAATCGCGTGAGAGAAGCTAGTCAATTGTAAAGCACTCATGTTAAGACTATAAAAGGTTTTCCGATAGTCTATCTAGCTGGACAGTTTCCCAAGAAACTTATTAGAATTTGTAAATGATTTGCAATGTAATGAAAAACCACAGTCAAAAGCAATCGTACTAAATAAAGTAAAAGATGCTTTTTATTAAGGAATGACACTTAATTAGGGCGTATTTTATTTATATTAATAGCATATCATATATAAAGAGGGTTCGATCCCCTGTTACAACAAGTGTTATTGGACTTTTTGCGGACACAGATATTTTTTTCATTTAGGGCTGATTTTTTAATGGTTAGATAAAAGTTACCTGTGGAATAGTTATGATGCTGTCGCGTTAGCATGTTTGTATAAGACAGTGACAGCAACAATTTTATTTCTCAGATAACATTTATCTGACTATTGAAAAATTAGCCCTAAATCTGGTAGAAAGTGATTGTCAGCTGTTATTGAAAATATTTTGTTATTTTTATTTATTATGTGTATTTTACAGGCTCTACAATTCAACGCAAATTAAAACAAAAACCTTTTTTAATATAAAGTTTTTCAGACACGCAACACTATTTTCGCCAATGTTGCTAAAAGTAAAAATTTTTGTCATAGACAACAATATACCTATATCGATGAAGTTGTTAGGTGGAATAAATTGTCAATTTCGGTAAAATTTTTGGGCTACAAATAAAAATATTATTCCGTCATTTTAAAGAAATAAGGATAAAAGGGAGATTATGGATGAGTGTATGTTGAGATTGGGAGACATGTCTTCCCCCTTATGTGGATAGAAATTGGACAATAAGGGATGTCGGGAGATTGGTCTCTATTACAGATCGAACGTCATAAATAATGTATGCAAAAACCGTCAAAAATTTTGTCATTTACTTATTTATTAACGAAGTAAAGTGAAGTTGTGTTTCGCCGTGTGTGTGAGGTTACCGGAGGCCCAATCCTTCCCCTTCCCAATCCCTCCCCAGTTCCTAAATCTCCAAATCCCTAATCCCTAAAAGGTCGGCAACGCACTCGTAACTCCTCCGTTGCGAGTGTCCATGGGCGGCGCTGATTGCTTACCATCAGGTAATCAGTCAGCTCGTTTGCCGACCTATTACATAAAAAAAAGTAAAAATTATCAAACCAAAATCGGACCGGAGGAGGCCCAATCACCCCATCTCTTCTCAATCCTTAAACAACTGTAACCCTTATCTTATTTGTGAGGTTACTGAAGGCTCAATTCTTCTTTCCTCCCCAAACCCTTCTTAATTCCCTAAATCTCCAAAAAGGTGACAACACACTCATAATTCCTCTGGTGTTGCGGCTATCTATAGGCGGCGCTGATTTGCTAACCATCAGGTAATCCGTCTGCTCGTTTGCAAAAGAGTGTCATTGTCCTTCTCCTAACCCAGGCTGGAATAATGAAAGTCAAAGTCAAAATAATTTATTCCAACTAAACCATAAATAGGTACTTTTGAAACGTCAAAATAGAATAGTAGTCTGTCAGTCTGTTCGTCAGTGAAGCTAGGTGCTCGTTCCAAATTGTAGATTCGAATGGAGAAGAACGAACAAGAAACTCCATCGTTACTCTTTTTAAAAGAAATATTTGTTTTACAATTTCACTAATTAATATTACATAACTTTAATTCTTCTGCTAACATATTTAACAAATCCTAAATTCATATTTTTTTTTTCATTATTTCTTTATAGACACGCCAGACTTTTTGTTCCGTCGCTACCAACAGAAAAAGATACCGCCATAGCCAAAATGTCTATAGGCGTAGTATTAAAAATAATTCTACAATTTGAATACAATTGGTTCTCAAATATACCCACTTTCGCCTACATTTGGCGGGATGTCGATAAGAAGGATGTTAGTGGAGAAGATGATTGGATGTTCAGTGTTGGGGAGTCATCCTCTCCTATGGGATGTAGTAATACACTAACACTTTGGCTCAGCGGAGAAGATGCGAAGAGGGTACGTGTCTGCACGTTTTTCCAAATTTTTTGCGCGGTTTTTTGAAGGTTTTTTAAAGAAAACGTTGCCTCGCTTCTGCTTTTAGTCCTTTGCCATGGGTTTTTTTTTGTGAGGGGAAAATCTACAAATGACTTCTTCCGCCCAGAGTCGGACGGGAGGAAGTGTCAGACTCTTACTGACTAAAACCCTCCCGTTCCTTCTCCTGCTCTGGGCCGAGGTCGCGGTGCCTCATTGCGCTTACCACACAACCCCAGTTGAACATCAGCCTTAATAGTTATATAGCATAGCCCCGTCTGTCGGAGTACTGACTCTTTCTTGTCTATTGGCTCTTTGCCGTGGGTGCGTTTACAAATATACAATTTCATAAACACATCACACCCAGACCCGGAACAATAATTGTGGATGTTTCGTTCGGGAATCTAAAGCGTCATTGCCCAGCCACCGCGTCAACCATTCAGTCTTGAATTGACGCCCTATGTTCAATAATCAACTGCGCAATATCTGTAAAGGGAAAATTCTAATTCCCTTGCTTTCTTTCTTTGGGAATTAATTTCAAAATTAACTAAAGCTACGGGAAATCATTTGGTATTCCAAGAGCATGTTTCACCACTTTTATAATATTAGACCTACAGATTTTTAAACAAACAATATTCTTTATTCATATTTATCTGGGTATCCAGCCATTTCGTACAAATTACCTGATTGGCCCGCTCAAAGTTAATCAACCAATCAGTGGAGTAAACGCTGTAAAGTTTCACAATAGCGTTTAACGTAAAACAAACTCGCTCTATGGTCTATCGGTTCACCCAATTAACTAAAATTAAACAATATTGGCATGTCTTTTTATCTAAAAAAATGCATGTAAAAATGTTTACAAACAGGGATTTAGCTAAATCGATGATAGGTAATAAACTTAATTTAAATGTGTAGGTATGTATTTTATACAAAGTGTTTAATATAAAAAGACATACCAACCGATAGACCATAGGCACTCAGAACTGTCAAAGTTTTGGCGGGAACATAAGCATGACATTTATTAAGGTAGTTTCCAACTAGTCAAATTTAATACTTTTATTCAAATGTCAAAAACGATACTTTTCTAAACCTGAGTTATGACTGACGTCATAGTATTTTTGCGTCAAATAGCTTACTTATTTCTTAATAATTAGCGTCAAAATATCTAAAACTTGTGTATCGATCGATCGATGAATAAAAGTATAGTTATTTTTCAATATTTGATTGTATTGAAACGTCGAATTAATTTTTTTTATCTAGGAAACTACCCAATTGGCTATCCTGGCAGATAGTCCCAACGTTGATATCGAAAAAAAATGTCGCTAAATTTTTAATAGATTTGTATATCTATGGTTTTGTGATTTAGTTGACAATCTATTGTAGAAACTGACTTCACGATGTATTTCTGTAATCATAGATACTAAAGGAACGTTCAGAGCTATATTTTTCTTTACATTTTTGAGATTAAAAAATTAATAATCTATGTTAGTGCGGTAAGAAACTTTTGTTCTAAAATATTAAAATATTTTTTTCCATACACGTTTGGGAACTCCGTCACATTTTTTATGTGGTACCTATGACGACAAATGAGGGGACAGATCTATAAAGAATGAGACATATTTAGGACACCCGCAACTCCAGAGGCATTAGAAGTGCGTAGCCGACCTTTTGGAGATTACACATAACAGTTTCGGAGATTTAGGGATTACGGGAAGGCAAATCTAGGGCCTCTGGTAACCCCCCTTACACGGCGAAATACAACGCTGTAGTTGTTTCAAAACGGTTTTCTGTGAGGCCGTGGTATCGCTCCGGTCGAGCCGACCCATCCGTGCCGAAGCATGGCTCTCCGACACATAAACTATCCCCCTTACCTATTACAAAACAAGATTTATCTTTAGGTTTAAACCATTAAGTCAGGTTTTGTATTTTGAATCCTTTTCTCAATTA